AAAAAAAAAAACACTAAAAAACATGTATGGTCGGGGAGGACAGAGGCAGTAGCTCCTGGGGGCTGAGAGCTTGCTGACAGCTTCTGTCCTTTCGGGGAACCCCCATGGCGGTTGAGTAGTGTCCACCCCAAAGATGCACTGTCAGTGCTGATGGTGAGCTGTTAGTCCTTCCAGCAGCCCAGTTCTTACAAGGCTGTGAGCTGTACCAACCACTCCAGGTGGAAGCCTCCCAGGCATACCTTTGCAGACACTTCTGCACTGATCTCCTCCTGTGTCTCTGCCAGCCGCTTCTTGGCAAGGTCAGTCCTCCGATCACACTCAGAGATGAAGGACTCCAGGTGATCCATGGCCTAGTGCAGGAGAAGCAGAGAGCTGGGGTCAATTACATGCATGGACTTGGAACCCATTTGTTCGACAGGAAAATACACTCCTGGGTTGGTTTCTTAAAGCCTGTAGGTTCAGTGGGAAGATCTTAAACTACACTCCAGTCAACGCATTATCCATAATCACATTAAATCAAGGGTTTTGTTAAACAGAATGATCATTCAGACGCATGGTCTTCTCATCTAATGTATTTCCAAAATTTGTAAAAGGACCCCCATCCCTCAATAACATTTGTGAGAAACTATTGAGGAAAATTCTAACACTTGGTCATACTGAACAGTGTTCTCTGAGGGGCAGGAAAAGCTGGACCGAGACTGTGAGACCCTCCTCCTGTGAGCTGTGGGAAATGCAGATGATGTACTCACTGGTCTTTGTGAGCCACGCAAATATTACCCTCATGTGCTGAGGGCAGAGCTCCCCCTTCCACCTCAAAACAAAACAATAGAACAAATATTACTGAGAGCTGTGAATACGTTTAGTTAGTGTCTACTGTCTAAAGTAGCAGGAAAACTGGTTACTACTTACCCAAAGAGATAAAGGAAAAGGATCTCTAGAAATATAATTGCTTACTCTGCAAAGAGTTGGTGGGAAACAATAAAATACTAATAAGCTGTCATGTATGCTAAGCAGTTAATGTGCCCCACTAGTCAAAGGCCCCAGGGTACTTCAGCTAAACATATAATTAGGGTGTCACTTGTCCAGATTTCAGGCTACCACCAGTGTGCTAAGAAAGCACCTGCTAACGTTGGCATCATGTTAAGTCTGACAGCAAGTGAGTTTGGCAGTGGATGACAGGGTTAAGCAGTATGACCTATCACCAAAAACCAGAGAAAAGAAAATTTTGCGTGAAGATAATAATAAAGAAGATGCACATTAGGCCAGCAGACCAATCTGTATCTCCCCTCCCCCAAAGATGGCCAGGAGAGAGCAGGTCAGCTGTGAAGAAAGCGCTCCATAGGACTGGTTGACACTAGAATGGACAGTAGGGACACCGCAGAAGGTTAAGGTGCCTCCAGGAATCATAAATACTGTTTTGAAGTAAATGCATTCTGGGGTGTAGGTGGAGATAGGAAGAGGCTCTGTGATGGTGCTGCATCCCCCAGGACTGAGGCCAACTCCCAGATCTCACTCCGTAATTTGGGAATTCAGGCCTCTTTCCTGTTGGTCATCCTAATATTCTGTGGTAAACATTTCACGATGTTCAAAACAAACAGTCAGTAAAGCCAATGATTGGCATTTGTTGGCCTGCATGCAATGTGCTTCCTGGAAAAATGCAGAGTAAACCAGCTCTGCTGACAAGCTGGGACTCGCCAGGATCAAAATGCCAGTGAGCTGACATGGGTCACGCGCCACCTATGCTCACCTGGGAAAACAGCTAACAGAATGGCCTGAGACACCCCTGGTTCACCCTCACACAGACCCTGAAACTGTGGTGTGGAGTCCCTCTGCTGCCCACCCAAACAGAGCGGTCTTACACCTGAGACAGACCCAGGGATCCACCCATCAGAAGCTGAGTGGGGAACAGACGTCTGAAGACCCCGCCTTCACCAATCAGAGCAACCACTCGCATCTTAAGCAGAACCCTACTGAATCAGACACCTGATAAGTTATAAACTAAACGGTGAACTTCACAACATAGAACAGGCAGACCACAGAGATGTCTTTAACTGCCATGTGCTTTAAAAGAAAGTTAACTGAAGCAACTTAACCACTGTTCACCTTTGGAGGGAACCAGGTGGCTGAATGGGACAGGAAGTTTCACAACATACCTTTTAAATTTTGAACTACGTAAACATCCTACATGTTTTTAAATGAATGAAATGCTACAATCCTAGTGAAATAATTGATCTAGGCAATAATCTTCAACTGCTGCTTAAAGCATTAGGTTGAAGGCAGATGGGGATCTTTATAATCACAGGTCAAGCTACCCACAACCCTCAAGCCCACCACTGATCACTGTCCCAACTGAGGTGATGCAATAGGAAGTGCACACCTCTGCCTCTGAAATATCCTGGTCAGAAAGAACTTACTCTGATGATCAAGCCTCCAGATCTAACTCCTGGGTTACAGGGAATTTCAGAGATACGGGAAAACACGTTAAAAAGACAGCATGAGGATACAAATAGCAAAATCCTGGGTACAGCTTGAAAATTAATTTCTTCAACCAAATATTTAAAAAAACTTGCAAAGCACTCTAATGTGTTGCCCTTATTTTAGATCCTGAGTCAAACAATTATTAACAACAACAAAAAAAAAACAGGCCAGGGCCGGCAGAGTGGCGCATTGGTTAAGAGCTGGGTAGAGACGCCAGAGGGCCCCGGTTCGGATCCCACATGAGGGCCAGTGACACTGCCCTCTACAGCTAAGATGCTGAACAACAGCTCAACCTGGAGCTGGGCT